TTTTTAAGGTAATTCTTAGGTCCTAACACCACTTGGCAGTATCCAAGCTGTCCATGCCTTCAGTATCACTGATAGTCCACAACTCTGTATATCTCTGTTTTTGGTGTTTTCATGCAGTTTCTTCTACTGCTGTTGGTGTTTTGTCCACTTCTGTACCTTTCCTTTCAAAGCTCAGGACTCCAGGAGTACCTTCTGTGTCTGTGTTAATTGTTTCCTCTTTTCTTTGTTGAAAAGGGTCTGTGTAGTTTGTTTGCCTATTCTGTCATCTTACCAGAACTCTGTTTCATATGTGTGTGTGTGTGTGTGTGTGTATTTTTTATTGTGCTTTAGGTGCAAGTGTGCAGAGCAGAGTTTGTTTTACATTCAGCATTATGTGTCCATTGTGTTTCACTCCCCGTTTACCATCCCAAACTCTAACCCAGTCTCCTCCCCTCCCTGTCCACTGACCCCCTCTCCCACCATGCCCCTCATAGTTATGCAGTCCTGTGTGTCCTGCATTTCCTTGTGCGAATGTTGCCCCTCTGGTGCCTCATGGTTGATTGCTCCAAGGGATGCATTTCCATAGAGTATGTGGGTGCATCACCCTGGGTTGCATGGTCTGCGTGTACATCTTATTTACTGTTGGGCTGAGAGCCAGCCCCTGGGAGTGAGTTTTATTCCAGGCCCAGAAGGTATCCCAGGGCCGTAGTATTGGGGGTCTCACCAGACTCCATCTGACTAGTAATTCCGGTCATTATTGAGTTTCTGGATTTTGTTCCATGTTTTTCCTCCCACTCTATCCAGGATCTCCAGATTTGATCCTTTCCTCAGTGGTTGGCATTGGTAGCTGGGCACCATCTGGTTCTTCTGGTCTCAAGGGCCATCATGTCCTAGGGCTGATTGCTTCCCAATGCCCTTGTTTTTTTTTTTTTTTTCTTTCTTTCTTTTTGCACTCCTCTTCGCTTCTGATGATAGGAGACCATTAGTTACATCTTAGATGGCTGCTTGAAAGCTTTTAAGACCCCAGTCGCTACTCACCAATGTAGGATGAGGAACAAGCCTTTTATGTATTTTATTGTGCCAATTGAGTCTGGTGACCCCCAGTACTATGATTCTGAGTTGGGAGATCTGTTGGATCTCTCTCCCACCATATCTGGGTGTCTATGAGGGATTACTCTATATCTTCTGCTTTTTCTGTAAGGATGGCAGGTATTTTGTATCAGTGGTATCTGTGCAAGATTAGCCTCTGCTGACTCTATCCTTAGTCCAGAGTATACTTCTGTTCACTGACCCCCATCTGATCTTCTCAAATGTTTATGTATTTATCTGTAGCCTGGTGTTTGATGTTTCATATATTTTTATGTAGGATTCTATACTTATTTAAAATGAGAGGACAGGTCTGTTCCTTGTAGTTTCTTCATGGCTGTTGGCCTAGTTATGTTTTTCTTTTTTAACCTATAAATACTGACCATATTGTTTCTTGATCCCAAAGGAAGATATCTGACCATCTTTTTATCTGTGTCACATAGAAAGGATTAAATATTTGTTATGATGCTCTTTGATTAGAAAAGGCTTTGATATATTTTCTGTTGTTGTTGTTGTTGTTATGTGCCGTCGAGTCGGCCCCGACTCATAGCGACCCCTCCTTGGGTTTCCGAGGCAGTATCACTACGGAAGTAGGATTGCCCAACCTTCCTTCCGAGGGGTGGCTGGTGGGTTTGAACCGCCAGCCTTCAGGTTAGCAGTCAAGTGCTTTAGCCACTATGCTACCAGAGCTCCCATATTTTCTGTAGTGAGAGCTTTTTGTTCTTATTTTTATCTTGCTCTGAATATTTTTTATTCTTATTTTTTAGGGGTAGTTATAAGTAGGAATTAATTCAGTAATTGTGGGTTTTGTGATGTGCTCTAGAGGAATCACTTGTTGGAATTTTTAAAACAATCATTTTGAAAGAGTTCCATGGCATATCAAGAAAATATCCAAATCATATTTACCTGGTATCAACATGCCTCTTCTTATGATAGCTTTTAACCACGTCTAAGTTATTCTGACCTTATTTATCCAATTTCTAGAATTATTTAGACCTCTTTTCCTGCTTCCCTCCATTTTATTCCCTGCTTATGTTCAAAACAAATATCTATTAGAGATAAAGCCTGCATAGGGAGTGAGAGAGTTTGAGCGAGCACAAACACGCAAATGAAACTTCGAAATTTGGCTTTTAATTCCGTTTTTATAATGTTTGGAGGTTGTCAAATGTAATGTCATGATCTAGTTTTGAATTCTTGTGGCCACTGGAAGTAGAATTTTTTTTTTTCCTTTGGGTGCCTCGTATCGAGGTGTTTAATTGGGTGTTACTCTTTAACCTATCACTGGAAAGACACTAGAAATTTGAATAAGCTGAAATCTTATTGATCTGGTATAGATGGTACATGATTGCACTGGGAAAAGGATAATAGGGAAATAAGATGACATTCCTTATTACCAGGAATCACTGTCTTGTGTACTAATTTATCTTGAAAAATGTAGAGCTATTTGACAGACCAGATGTTTCAGCGTGCAGCCATGTGTCTCATCAGTGAATGTGCCTTTGTCCGCAGGCAACATTGTTGGATTTTCTCATTCTATAAACAGTGTTCAAAAATATAACTAAACCCCAAAGTGTGTTTATCTTTTTGGCTTAATTTCTGGCTTTCTATCCAGTCTAAAGTTTCTCTCTAGAGGAATTACATTTTATTGCACATAGCTCTTCATACCTAATTGTAGTGTAAACACCATTCTGTTTACACTAAATCATGTGAATTGTACTGTTTTTGAGTCTGTAGCATTTTAACAAAAGCAGCTATTTCTGACTTAACTATATATGTACAATTTATTTTGAATATAGAGCAAGTAAACTTTTATTTCCTCCATTTATTTGGAGTGAGATTTTGTTTTTTGAAATATGTAAGGGAAAAAACATCAAAAGAAATGCAGCAAGTAAAACCAATCTCTGGTCTTTAGTTTTTGTAGTACTAAGTTCATAGGAGCAAGAAGAGCCGCAAGTATCTGCTGTGAGTTCATTTTAAAAATCCAATATAGAGCTGTAAGATTTTTGTTTTAAATTCATAAGAATGGTACTGAGTTCTTGCTGTACTACATAATATCATGGAAAAATGTGGAAATTTGGAAATTAAAAGCATGAAACAGAAAATTATCACCCACACTCTTGCTATCAAAAAACCAAATGAAACCAATCAAAAAACAAAAACCCATGGTTAACATATTTGTATATATTTTTCTAGTCTATGTGCTTATGTGTGTGTGTATATGTATTCAGTGATACATATCTTATATATGCATATGTATTCATAATTTGTACAAAAATATTTATAATTTGGAAAAATCATATACTTGTAAGTTCTATTTTTTGAAATAATTTTTATTTAACAACGTTGTAAATATTTTGCCATTTCATTAGTCTTTTACCTCATATATCATTTATGTACACCATAATGTATTTAACCAATTCCTTTTTATTAGATATCTAAGTTAGGAGCTTTGGTAGCACAGTGCCTAAGGTACTTGACTGCTAACCAGAAGAATGGAGGTTCAAACCTACCAGCCACTCCTCAGAAGGAAGGTTGGGCAATCTACTTCTGTAGTGATACCACCTCGGAAACCTAAGGAGGGGTTGCTATGAGTTGGTCTGACTCGATGGCACATAACAACAACAACAACAATAACAACAACAGATATCTAAGTTAGTTTTTCAAATTTGCTTCTATTAAAAAACAAACAGACCAACAAACAACTGCAACTCAATACCCTGGGTGGTGCAATTGGTTAACACACTAGGCTGCTAACTGGAAGGTTGTGTGTTCACCTACACCCAGTGGCACCTTGTAAGAAAGGCTTGGTGATGTACTTCTGAAAAATCAGCCACTGAAAACCCTGTGGATCACAGTTCTGTTTTGACACAAGGCGGTTTGCTTAGTGTCTGAATCAACTTATTGGCAACTAGTTTGCTTTATACATCTTTTTGCACATCTAATATTATTTGGAAATGGAATTATTTAGAATACCTGTTTTGCTAAAATTCTTCTTTGAAACCTTGTGTCATTTAAAAAAAAAAGTTTGGTCAGCAGACCATGAATTCCCATCTATTGACCCTTGATGATAATACATATTATAGTTTAAGAACTCTTAGGCAGTTTGAGTGACAAAATTGTGTCTTGTATTTGCATTTCTTCACATGAATTTCATCCTTTTAAAAAATATGTTGGCCATTTTTTGTTCTTTTGTGATTTTTCTTTGTTCATTTCTAATTTTTAAAGTTTTTAAAGTTTATTAAACTTTATTTTTAAAGTTTATTAACCTTTTATATGTATGATGCAATCTTTACTAATTTATTGTTTCCTCTGTATTCTTCTTATAGTTGTTTTATACATAGCTTATTGTAAGTTTTTACCTAGTTTATCAATCTTAGTTTTATTCTTCGTCTTATGCTATGAAAGTTTTTCTACCTATCAGATAAATAGTATTTCTTTTCTTATTACGAAATAACCTTCTTTGTTTCTAGCAATATTTCTTCTAGCAATATTGTGTTTGGCTGATTTCCAGAGCCATGATATAGTACTTTTGGACAGTTTTGTCTAGTTTATAGTTGTTTTTTGGGAACAAGATTTGCAAAATTCTTTCCTCTGCCATAGCTATAGTCTAGCCTTGATACTTGATCTTATGGGATGATTTTTTGGTAATGAGATGATATGTACTTTATAAATTTTCTTTTATTATATAATGAATGTCATTGGTAGATTTTCTAAGTTTTCTGCATTTTTGAGATAAAACCTTTTTAGTTCTAATTTACTAGACTTTTAATATGTGTATTAATCTATAATAATTTGAGATTTTCCATGATGTTCTCATTGAAATTTAATATTAGATTTGTTTTAATATGTATAGAAAGCTAATTCAGACTAGAACTTTTGCCTGAGGCCCCTAAAGAATACTGAGTTAAGCTAAAGATGATCAATTTCTTTTGTAGGCACTATCCTGCACTGAAAACTCTGGAACATTTAGAGCATACGTATTTGCCTCAAGTAAGCCATTATCGATTCTGCAAGGTGATGGTGGACAACATCCCCAAGCTTCGAGAAGAAATAAAAGATGTTTCAATGTCTGATCTCAAAGACTTTCTGGAGAGCATCCGCAAACATTCAGACAAAATTGGAGAGACTGCCATGAAGCAAGTAGGTTTTGGGTTTATGATAGGTTGGCCATTGGCTTTGCAAATATTCAGTTAAACATAGACTTTTCATTACCAAGTGTCTTAATTATTGCTTATCTTGTCATTTTAAGGAAGTCCTTCATCTATTTGGGGACTAGTTCAACAATTGAATAGTAATTTTTTGCTCTTAGATGTGCAGTAAATATTGTTCAATTGTGATGGTTTATATTGTGGATTTAAAGAGGTTTTTTTGTTGTTGTTTAAAAAAAAAAACAAACCTTCCCTTGACTTTGGATATGATTTGAAGCCTAAGAAATTTTAAAGTGGTCCTCCTACTTAATGTCCTCATCAACAAGTATCAGTGAAAAAGGACTTATTAGTTAATGCTGTGAATTATGATCATACAAGTGGATTTATTTGTAGCTATAAATTAACAGGTGTGTTAGAAATCCTTAAATTATAAAGAAAAAATATTTATGTCTAAATGACCAGTTTTCGGAAGGAAGGTTGGGCAATCTACTTCCGTAGTGATACTGCCTCGGAAACCCAAGGAGGGGTGGGTTGCTATGAGTCGAGTCCGACTCAACGGCACATAACAACAACAACAACAAATGACCAGTACCACAGGAAACATCTGAATTTCTTTTGTTGTTATGAATAAAAGAGCTTTAATAGTAATGATTTTCAGTACTACTTGCTCTTTTAAAATTCAAGTCACATTGATTTTATTAAAATTTCTCAGTATACCTGATTATGTAGCCTCCAACAATAAATAGAAGTTTTAGTTGTTTATGGAAAATGTTTTTTGGTTCTGTAAACAACTGTGTTCTTGAGTAGGTCATTTGTAATTCTTATCATCTGGGGGAAATAAGGGAGCCGATTATATTTGGGGTTGTATTTTAGGTCTCAACTAGCACTGGTAACCTTTTTTCAAATATCTGTTTGATTATGCAAGAGAGATTTGCCAATTACCCTTCTCTAAGGGAGTTCAGTTTGACTTGTTTCTATTACTCTTTTTTCTTTTCAATTTTGTCACTGTTATACTTTACAAAGTGCAACTTTTAAAACTAGTCAATGACAAAAGTCTGATAGAAATAACATCATGTCTTCTTGTAGTGCTGAAGTAACAAATTTTATGATTGAAAATATACTTTCGTGTTGTTGAGTACAGGAATGGAAGTATCTTGTAAGACAAATCTTTGAGTATTGTGGTTGATTAACATTTCCTACATTTTTAAAATATCAGAGTATAATACAAAGCCTCTGTGGAAGCTTCCTTTTTTTAAAGTTGTTTTTCTAGGCTCTACTTTGAGAAATTAACATTACTTCCCATTTGATGAGAGGATTCCATGAAGAATATTATTACCTCACTTGATGAGTAAGATTACCAAGTCTTACTCCTTAAATATCTGAAGAAATTAAGGCTCAGAGGAGGGAAGTTTTAGACAACTTGTAAAGGTTAAACTGTGTAGCAGAATTTAGATCAGATTGAAATGAATTTGTCTGCTGTGCACTCAATTTGTATAAGTGGTTAGCTGTTTGCTATGTTTTGTCACATAAAGAAATGATGAATAAGCCTATTGTGAATTTGGAACTTGTTAATTGACTGATAACCTTTTGTTCCTCATATAAAATTTTTGATCTCAGGTAACATATATTGTTACTCTATGTTATGGTATAGGAGCTCTGGTAGCATAGTGCCTAGGGCACTTGACCGCTCACCAGAAGGCTGGCGGTTCAAACCCACAAGCCACTCCTCGGAAGGAAGGTTGGGCAATCCTACTTCCGTAGTGATACTGCCTTGGAAACCCAAGGAGGGGTCGCTATGAGTCGGGGCCGACTCGACGGCAAATAACAACATGTTATGGTATATTTAAGATCCTTGAGATAGCTTATACCTTTTACAATTTCCTGTTGTTTGCCATCAAGTCTATTCCGACTCCTAGCAACCCTATTTGACAGTATAAAACTGCCCCATAGAGTTTTCTAGGCTCTAACCCTTACAGGATTAGACCACTAGGTCTTTTCTTCTGGGAAGTCTCTGGTGAGTTCAAACCTCTGATCTTTTGGATAGCAACCGACAATTACACCACCAGGGCTCCTTTGAATTTTCTGTAGGGCCTAGAATGTAGGTAAAGTAGGAAAAAGAGAAACTGCTACATACTTTGTATGTAGTAGGGATTGAATAAATATTTGAAATCATGGGTGTTGGAGGAGGGAAAGGAAATAGATTATTTCTCACGTATGCCAAGCCCAAATGATGTTTCTCATTGTGATGGTTCTCTTCTCAATGATGATTTACCAAAAAAAACCAAACTCACTGCCATCAAGTTGATTCAGACTCATACTGACCCCTCTTTGGGTTTCTGAGGCAGTATCATCCACAGAAGTAGTTTGCCCAATCTTCCTTCCAAGGAGTGGCAGGTGGGTTTGAACCGCCAGCCTTCTGGTTAGCAGTTAAATGCCTTAGGCATTATGCCACCAGGGACTAAGAATCTTTCTATGTGTTGCTCTGCTATCTTTAATGTGGCTTTCAGGATTGCTGCAGAATGGGAAAGACAAAAGAAAGTTTTTAGGGCTACCTGGAAAAATAGCACATATTACTTCTAACCATATTCTGGTGGCCAGACTTAATTATATGGCTACACCTATCTGTAATGGGAAATCCCAGGGTGACGTAAATGGGTCAGCACTCAATTACTAACCAAAAGCTTGGGCATTCACACCCACCCAGTGGTGCCTTAGAAGACAGGCTTGGCAGTTACAACTAAGTAAACCCTACACATATGAATTTGGCATGAGTTGGAATCAATTTAGTGGCAACTAACAACAACAGTGATCTGTAAGGGAAGCTGGGAAATATAATCTCACTTTGTCCCTAAGAGGAGGAGAAAACATATTTGGTGAATCTCCGTAAGTAAGTCTCTGCCACAGATTCCCTTAACTCTTCCTTGCGTACATAGAACACACCCATTCCCTAAGGGAGACAACCGATGTCTCATTTAATCACTACATCCATCTTGAAGTCTAGTATTTCCCAGTGATACTTAATCCTGTCTATCAGATCCAGATGTGGCTCTTTATAGACTGGTAACTAGTGAACTAAAATGACAAGTTATCTGCACCTCTGTCTTCACTCTTTTCCTCTCAAATATACAATGATGAGACTAGAATAGGATAACCGCACAAAAACCCTTTGATTTACAAAAGAGAAGAGTAGAAGACACAGTATTCGTTGTTCCATAGCAAATCATGTAATTTCTTGGGTAGGCATTGAGAAGTCCTGGTAGTAGGGGAAATTCCTTGCCTAGAAATTGCCCATTGTTCTCCTGAGCTATGGGCTGCACTAAGAGATTTTTCCTTCTCTGTTTTTCTCTATATATACTTTGTAAGTATCTGTATTTCCTTGAAAGGAATATTTCTCTCTCTTACTGTTTCATATATATATTTACACTTATACCTACATCTACACACACATACACACACACATATACATCTACATCTATATCTATATTTCAGTTTCTGTTTTCTGCTCCTGAAAGTTTAGGGGCCTGAGGTTTAAAGTTCTGAACAGTGAAAGGTTTATTTAGTCCAGATTTGTGGGTTTTTTTTTTTTTTGGCATTATGATGTCTTCCAAAACTTAGTAGGCTTCTGATCTCTTTCTTTACAATAGATTCTATGGGGAAACCATGTTGTTGTTGTTAGGTGCCATTGATTGGTTCCAACTCATAGGGACCCTGTGTACAACAAAACACTGCTCAGTCCTGCGCCATCCTCACAATCCTTGATATTCTTGAGCCCATTGTTGCAGGCGCTGTGTGAATCCATTTTGTTGAGGGTCTTCCTCTTTTTCACTGCCCTTCTACTTTACCAAGAGTGATACCTTTCTTCAGGAACTAGTCCTTTCTGACAACATGACCAAAGTAGGTAAGATGAAATCTGGCTTTCTGACATTTAAGGAGCATTCTGGCTGCACTTATTCCAAGATAGATTTGTTCTTTCTTCTTGCATTGCACAGTATTTTCAGTATTCTTTACCAACAACAATTCAAATGCATCAGCTCTTCTTTGGTCTTCCTTATTGATTGTCTAGTTTTCACATGAATATGAAGCAACTGAAAATACCATGGCTTGCATTAGGTGTACCTAAAGTGACATCTTTGCTCTTTAACACTTTAAAAGGTTTTAGTAACAGATTTGCTCAGTGCTGTACAATGTCTGATTTTTTGACTGCTTCTTCCGTGGATATTGATTATAGATCTAGGTAAAATGAAACACCTGACAACTTCCATCTTTTCTCCATTTATTTTGTGTTGTTGCTTATTGGTCTAGTTGTGAGGATTCTTGTTTTCTTTATGTTGAGGTGTTATCCATACCGAAAGCTTTAATCTTTCGTCTTCATCATTAAGTGCTTCAAGTCCTCTTTATTTTCATCAAGCTAGGTTGTGTCATCTGCCCATCACAGGTTGTTAATGAGTTTTTGTGATGCCTCAATCCTGATGCCATGTCCGTCTTCATATAGTCCAGTTTATAGGATTATTTGCTCAGCATAAGATTGAATAAGTTTGGTGAAAGGATACAACCCTCACATACACCCTTCCTGATTTCAATCCATGTAGGATCCCCTTGTTCTGTTTGAATGACAGCATCTTGATCTGTGGAGAGGTTCCCCTTGAGAACAATTAAGTGTTCTGGAATTCCCACTCTTGGCAGTGTTATCCATAATTTGTTATGATCCACACAGTGGAATGCATTTCTGTAGTCAGTAAAACATAGGTAAATATCTTTCTGGTATTCTTTGCTTTCAGCTAAGATCTATCTGACATCAGCAATGATATCCCTCATTCCATATCCTCTCCTGAATCCAGCTTGCATCTCTGGAAATTTTCTGTCAATATAGTGCTGCAAATATTTTTGAATTATCTTCAGCAAAATTTTACTCGTGTGTGGTATTAATGATATTGGTTCGATACTTCCTACATTCTGTTGGATCACCTTTCTTTGGAAAGTGGAAACCATACC